AGTCACAGCATTATCACAGACTAGAGAAATTGTGGACTTCATAGATTGCAATAACTTAATTTTTAACATTAAGCAATATTATCTCCATTTATACCCTTTGGATATCTCCTAAATAAGAAAAAAATGTTCAAGTGGGCACATCTGTATGGTGTGAGATTTAGAAACAACCATTATAAAGAAAATTCCCCTAGTCAGAGCAGGCCCTATATCTGGTCCTAGACACCAATAATTTTGATGAGCAGTAACTGGGGTCATCGTAAACCATTTAATTCATATAATTTTATACGTATGCATGTGTTGCATTTACATACATATATAACTTGAATTAGATATTAATATATATTTATATAATTATGTGTAGCAAAAATATACCTAACAAATATATGTACACATATATGCATATTTTCATGTTGCAGTGCAGTGAATTATTAATATAGCCCTTCTGGTCATATTTTTGTAACTCCCACCAAATGATGGAGTGTGTCTTAGGCTGGGTCCTCTAGAGAAGCAAAATCAGTGAAGCATATAGACAGAGAGCATATATATATATATATATATATATAGAGAGAGAGAGAGAGAGAGAGAGAGAGAGAGAGATTTATATAACGGAAATGGCTCACCTGGTTGTAGAAGCTCAAAACTCCCAAGTCGATGGATCAGGCTGGAGGATTCTACTGCCTCATGTTGCTGCAGGGGCTGGCGAACCCAAGATCGGCAGGTCAGACAGTAGGCCTCTGGCTCACATGCTGTGGAGACTGATGAATCCCAAGATCGAAAGTTAAGATGACAGGCCTCTGGCTCACAGGCTGTAGAGACTGATGAATCCCAGGATCAGCAGGTAAGCTGCTAGCTCAAGTCCCAAGTACTGGAGGTCAGGTGAGGAGCCACCTGCAAGATCCAGAGCGAGCAAAAGCCAAAGAGCTTTGCAAAAAAGTTCTCATATGTTGGATGTAGGCCACATCCCCAGTGAAACTCCCTTTCAACTGATTGGTTGTTCATAGCAGATCTCATCATGGAGGTGATCACATTGTATCAGATCTCATTATGGAGGTGACTACATCATTACATAGCTGCCAAGCTACATCATAACTTCCAAACCACTGAGAATCATGGCCCAGCCAAATTGACACAAAACCTTAAACATCACAGAGTGGGACTATGCAAATGAGGTGTTTGTGACTCACCCAAGGGATTGGATAGCTTGCTAATAATGTAAATAAGATGCATGGTACCCTAGTGGGGGTGGGACCATGCAAATAAGTTGTATGGAATCCTAACAAGGAATTAATCAGTTTTGCCATCCCACTAGTCTTAAAATGAGCCATCCCAGAAGCAGAGAGGAAAGGATCTCACCACCTCCAAGGAAGAAGAGCCAGAAGTGGAGCATGTCCTTTGGACCCACGATCCCTGGCCCGAGAACCTCCTAGATCCTGGAGACAGATAGAGACAGAATTGTAACACCTGAGATGGTGAGAAGCAGTGGCAGAGAAATGGCAGCAGCAGAACCAGGAGACGACCAAGATACTGCCAGGAGTCTGACAGGAGACCAGCAGGAGATGATGTGGTAAGCTTCTTGGATCACAGAGTGATAAAGCTGGGTAGCTTCAGGCAGGAGGCTTGCTGGTGGAGTAGGGTGCCTTTGGGCACTTACCAACAGACTAAAAAAGCTTTGTACCACTTGCCTGAGCAAGGCAGAGGCCAGGTCAAGCAACCAAGAGCCTGTGGGCATGGCTGAGAAGATGCTGTCTTGATTGAAAAACTGTATCCTGAGCATTCCTGAACCTGAATTGTAGCCTGTTACTTCCCTAATAAACCCCTTAACTGTGAGTATGATCTGTCAGTTCTGTATGGCCATTGCAATGAATTATCAAACCCAGCAGAAAAGTAGAGAGTACCATGAGAGGGATTGTTGGGTCAGAATTGGTAAAAAGTTTGGAGGATGAAGGCATGTCTGACCTCCAACTCGTAGGAATCAGCCTTGGGCTGTTGATCTTGATTCTCCCTCCCCCTTGTGAAGTTAGTGGAGATCAGATGCCTCTGCCATGCCATTTTATACATATATACAATTCCTGTACATATATGATCATATGTACATACATATACACCTACTCCTCACTTATTAACTCTTATTATCTGACGTTTCGCATTTACAACAATAGCAAAAAATCTACTATCCAACTGCTTTGCACATTAACAACCTATGACTGGCAGTAAAGAACGCCGAGGTGCAAAGTGATAGCATTGCTGGCTGTGATGGTTAACACCATGTGCCAACTTGGCTGGGCCATGATTCTCAGTGGTTTGAAAGTTATGTAATGATGTAATTTGGAAAGTTACATTGTTGTTTTTAGGCACCATCATTCTGACACATAGTGACACTATGTACAACAGAATGAAACATTGCCTTGTCCTGTGCCATCCTCACACTCACTGCTATATTTAAGCTCATTGTTGTAGCCACTGTGTCAATCCATCTCATTGAGGGTCTTCCTCTTTTTCAGTGACCTTCTACTTTACCAAGCATGGTGTCCTTCTCCATGGACTGGTCCCTCCTGATAACATGTCCGTTTTCTTTATGTTGAGGTGTAATCTTCATATAGTCCATCTTCTTGAATTATTTCCTCAGCATACAGATTAAATAAGTATGGTGAAAGGATACAACCCAGATGCTCACCTTTCCTGACTCTAAACCGTGCAGTATCTCCTTGTTCTGTTTGAACAACTGCCTCTTGATCTATGTATGTACAGATTCCACATGAGCACAATTAAGTTTGCAGTTATGTAATGATATAAATTGGCAGTTACATAATGATGTAGTCATCCTATATTTTGTGATTTGATGTGGTCATCCTCCATTTTTGCATAATGCCAGTTTTTACATAATGATCTGGTCTTTGAAACCTAACCATGTTGATAAGTGAGGAGTAAAAAGTTTGGAGACAGAGTAATAAGTGAACTTAAATATGAAATTTGAACTTCATCATTTTCGACAGGTCTTTATTATGTGTTTGAGTTTTAACTATTTGTTTAAGTAGTTAAATAAATAATATTTATTTAAGTATCATTACATTTTTCTATAAATGAAGTAAATTTTCCTTTTTTATTCAATTATTTACTTTTATATTTCTTCTGTAATTTTATATCTCTTTAAGAATGTATACCAAAGTATATTTATGTCTTCAGTTTTAATAAAATCTATCTATATGTGTGGATGTTTATTTACAGCTTTTGAACGATAATGATTTGTAATAAATGCCTCAGAAACTCAGAGGCTTAAAATAGTAAGCATTTATTTTCATATTCACAGATGTTCATGTTAACAATGATATGACTGATCAAGGCAGGGCTCAGCTGGTTGTTTTTCCTGGAGGCTGGCAGAGCTTCTCTACAGCTATGGATTGTTTGATCAGGGCCAAGAACGAAGGGGCAGTGATTATCCAGGGCTCAACATTCTTGTGGTAAGTTTCAAGATGAACAAAATTTTCAAACCAATCTACAGAAGGAAATTTAATTCAAAACATCTTCAGCACAGATGCACACAGTTTTGATTTATCCTTTTTCTTTGTTAATTTCTCAAGTTTCTAAAAACCTTCTCCCCATTTAATTTTCAAGGTATTTGATGATGACGTTGACAAATAATTACAGTTTTTAATCTTTGCCTTGTTAAAAAAGTTTATAAATTTAATTTTGCATTAATTGGAAATTAAGGCTGACTGAGTTTTCACCAGATGGCTTTAATAGAAATGTTCTTATATTTCCTCATTGGGAAGGGAAAAAAAATTTCTTTAGTTGAAGTAAATGCCTCCTAAAATAGACCTTCTTAAATCCTACACAGATGACCTGGTATCTTGTTGAATGAAGATTTGATTCAGGAGGTGTGCTGTGGGGCCTGCTATTTTACATTTCTAACAAGCTCCCAGTGATTTCAATGATGCTGCTGCATTTGTGGACAAATTTTGAGCAGCAAAGTATTTGTATATTGAGAAAGAATGCTATATCTTCAATAGTCTTTTTCCTTTTTCGTCAAGAAAGGATTTTCTTTTGTTTGTCTAATAATTTCTATATATTTAATACAATTTCCTCAATTTTCTTTTCGCTTAATGGCTTAGTGAAGTTTTCTTGCTGAGATTTCAGACATGCTGAAGATACTAGTAAGCATATCCAAGTGTATTCTAGGACCATTCCCTAATTGGCAACATTCTGAGAGCTGGGATGGTGATGACCATGCAGGATGTCTGCTGCTAACTCCCCATCATAGCCATCATTTCTGCAAGCACAAGTCCCAGAATTATGTTTCCTACTAAGATTTCCTGGTGAGGGGTCTTGCTTTGAGTTTGAGGCAGAAGAAGAGAATTCAATACTCTTCATTGATACCTGCAGACAGACATATGGACATATGGACAAAGGTAAGAATGAATAACCACATGGTAAAGTGTTTTAGGAAGCTGAGGGCATCAAGACCACCACCCTAGGCTCCTAGACATGTCTGATGACCATAGGGTAGGCACCCAATATCTTCAGTGCAGATGCACTCTGGATCTGGGGTAGCACCTGAGAGTCTCCCATTTCCAGTATCTGCTTCCCTGATTATCACACACCCAGACATTTTAAAGCTTGCAGTTTAGGCTCTAACTGGTGTATGAAAACAATCGTTGCTTTGAATATCTAGAGTGATTTCTCTTAGCAGTATGAACTCTGACTGATGCAGTAATCCAGACTCATCAGGTGTAATAATCTCTGTCCTCTATGGAATCAGAAGATGCATTGTCCTGTCAGTGCTTCTGGGGCTGAGGAGGAGGAAACTATTAGGGTGCAGAGGAGTCATGCTGGTCCCTTCTAACAGAATCTTCCAATGACCAACAAAGACTGACTTCATCTGACAAACATTTTCAGCAGATGGAGGCACAAGATATGCAGCTGGGGCAGCCCAGCCTCACACATCTCTTCCCCGGGGTGCTTTATGTTCCAGCTTATAACCCTGTGGGAGGAGTACTGTAAGACTATTGACAGTAATAAGTTCCAACATCCTCAGCCTCCAGGTTGCTGATGGTGAGAGTGAAGTCTGCCCCAGACCCACTGCTTCTGAACTGTGAGGGGACCCAGATTCTAAAGATGATACCCCATAGATTATGAGTTTAGGAGTTTTCCCTGGCTTCTGTTGATACCAATGTAATGCACTACTAATGCCCTGATTTGCCTGGCAAGTGATGGTGACTGTCTCTCCTAGATATGCAAACAGGGAGGGTGGAGACTCTGTAATCTGGTTGTCACTTCTGGTATCTGAGAATGGAAACATAAAAACAAACATCCACACTATTATTCATGTTACGAGGTCAATGTCCCTGAAGATCCAGGCAATACTGTCCTCACTGAGATGAGCCAATGTTCACAGATCTCAGCTCCAGAGAGACATTCAAGGGGTCCAGCAATGAGCTATGAAGAGGGGAAGTTTCACCATCTTGAGTAAAGTCCTTGTGTTCTCCTTCTTTACCTGGGAGCGAGAGCAGCAGGAGGCTGAGGGGCTGAACAGGGACTTTGAGGTCCATGCTGACTGGACTGATTCCTGTACAGGGTGTGACAGGTTGTTGATAAGGCTTCAGGGCAGCAGGGTTGTGCTCTGGGAACATATAAATCAGCAAGGGAGGAGGCAGGCTGGTGTCCAGCTGCAGGGCGGGTTTTTCTCAACAACATAGCACAGGCAGCTGAGTTTCTCCCAGGTGTCCCAGCTCAGACTAAGGTGGCAAAAATTGGCTTGTTTCTCCCTGGGGCCAGAGGACAGCATAGGTCTCCTGTCCAGTGAGTAAAGGGTCTTCTACTCTCTTCAAGGTTCGTGACATGCTTTTCTTGTTTCTCTCCATCTAAGACTTGGTCTATTGGGTATGACACAACTCCAAAAACTTCAAGAAGTTTTACCAGCTGCTTGCATTTGGTATACATGCACATTATTGATGTCAGAGAGGCCTCCTTCCAGCTTTGATTTCCTAATTGTCTTGATAAATTCAATCATCAGCACAACCTGCCAGAGATGCAGTGAGGTTTAAGAGTAATAAAAAAATTTAAGGGGTCACTATTTTTAAGGATGGTGTGAGACACTGGACATCTGCCATCGCTACCCAATCTTCTCCAGCTGAGCAATTTGTCCCCTGCCATTTCTGAATGCCCTGTCCCACCTCTTTCCTTCTAGGTAAGCCAAGGTGAGGGATTTTCTCTCTCCACATCTGAGAATTATCTGGTATCTTTGTAGCTCTGCTTGCCATTAAAGTATTTTTACACAAATAACACGCACCCTCTGAGTTTGTTTACCAGCTGCACCCTCCCCCTCACCCTCCTGAGGCACCCTCACAAGAGCTGCCATGTTAGTCCTCTTCCACATGTTGCTGTAAAGAAAAAAAAAAAAATTAGCATATCACACTTACAAAAATACCTCGTGGGGGATGCAAAAAACACCAAAGGCATGCATTACTTGTGTAAAACTACAGTACAACATCCATGCTAGATGTTGTCTGAATTCCTGTGGTTATTATTCTTGCTTCCTATCCCCTCTTAACCCGAGCTATTCCCCTAGAAAAGCTGAGGTCTTCCCTAGACCACATGCTTATTTATACACTAGACTTTACTATGGTCTCTTATTTAGAAGATGAATATCATTTACTTTATGATGAGGTCCAGGTTGTGGAATACATGTGGACACATACAGCTAACTAAACATATGAACAATTGCTGCTGCCTATTTTGCCACTTTTATTAAAAATTATGCATGTGAGCCCGTGTGTGTGCGTGTGTGTATGCACTTGTGCGCACATGTGTTCAGTTCCTTCTGTTTTCTGAACCAATTCCTGAACAAAATCAGGTTTTGACTCAGGCTTGTCACTAAAATAAAAGAGTTTTAAAAAATTGAATTTATTATTCAGATTAGGTGGTTTTAATGATTTAAAGTAAAAAAACATTTTGACAATTTTGTGAAATAATGAACATTCCCCCCCATATTGATGATATATACAATATTTGGCTCATAATTTTAATGGTTATCTATGTAAATAATAGATCCATTTTAAGCAATGATTCTTGTATGTTTACTGTGACTTAACATTGTAGGGTAAAAAATAAAATGGTAATGTTTCCCATTCCACTACCAAAATAAGTTAGTTAAGACTACAAGATCATTTGGCAAATTATTAGCTGTAGTTGGCAGAAATTGCAATTAATACTAAATTAAATAGTAAAAGGGATTGGATACTTAAGCAAATGGAAAGTGCAGAGTGTCAGACTTAAAGTAAGACTTGATGCACTGGCTTGTTTGTGTCATGAAAATCCATTTTCTTCCTACCTCTGCACTTTGCTTTCCATTGTGCTAGTTCCACCTTAAGGGAAGATTTAGCATGGATGCCAATAGATCCTGGTGTTATAAGTTCTTTGTTCATATACAGTGCTTGTTCCTCACATTCCAGCAGGAATTCTGAGTCTCTCTTGGTTGTCAAGTTATAGAGAATGACTGTCCTTTGAGAGATCACTGCAGACCACTACTGTTAAGGAGAAGGCGTCTCTGAAAGACTAAATTGCTCTCTGTATTTCATCCCTAAAATTGGGTTGAATCAGAATTCCCAAAACCACACGGACTACCAAATAGTAATTGAGAGCTGTGGAAGAGGAAAATAGATGCTTTGGAGGAAAGAACACAGATCTCCACTTCTCCATCTGTAAACAAACCTCAGCGTCAAGGATTACAGAAGGAAAAGTTAAGTGAGACCTTCAAGGAGGAACAACTATAAATCTGAGGGACTATAAAGATAGTGGCCTCTTTCTCTCTCTTAGCCTATAAAAACTTCAGTTTTCAAGAAAGTAAAATGAACAGACACCAGTGAGCTGTGGAACAACTTCAAGCAGCCTAGTTGTATGTAAATAGACTCCTGAGAAGAAAGTGTGTCACAGAAAAAAAAAAAATTTTTAAAAGAAATAATAATGGCTAAAATTTTCCCCAAATTTAAGAAATCATTATCAGGAGTTACATAATTAAAAATCCAGAGTGAGCTGGAATCCAGGTGTTCAGTGGCTGAATACAGAAACACAAGACAAATCATGAAGCCTTACCTACAATCACCCCTACGGTCTAGTTTGCAATTGCAAACAAGAGTCTAGCAGCTTAGTGGTCTGGGAAATGTCGAGAAATTACTTCCAAAATGGAGACACACTCCCCATTAGCTAAGAAATAGTCTCAACACTGGTAGGTATCTTTGAATTCTGAAGGCAACATATCATATTGGAGTGACTCATCTATCCAGTAAACTGTAAGGTTGCCAGTTGTGAGTTAGTTTGAGAACAGAAGACAATTCTGCAATGGGTACAACCTGAAGTGGACCTTATGACCCAGGAGATAAATGATGGTTAATGTGTCGGTGGTAAGACATGATGTGTGGAGGCTCTGACAAGCCTCTAGAGAGAACTACAGTGCAGACTTCTAGGTGCTAGAGCAATACCTTGATCTTTTTAACAGAGAACAATCCTCTTCTTAAGATAAGGGTCCTGGCTTGCCATTGAACCCTGGCAGAAACCAAATAGGACATCAAGTGGCCAAGTGATGTAAACTACCCTTTATGAATTGAATGTTGTCTGGTGCACGAAGTCATAAATTTATTTATGAACAGCAGCATTCCATCGTCAGATAAAAGTGGTATATACAAGCTGGGCCTTGAATAGGTCCTGTAGGCACAAAATGAGTTACGTGTGTAAGTAGTTCATGGCACCTACACTTGCTGAATTGCTCCTTTTGCCTCACTCTATACCTATAGCGTTGTGTGGATTCTGTTTTGCCAGTTGACTTAGGAAAAAAATTAATACTTATTATATTAAGCCAAAGAAGGAAAGAACTTGAGTACAGTTAATTGCAGCAACTTCAATGATAAAATCTAGTGATTGGAAATCACAAAGTATATAAAAATCACTAGAATTTTTTCATGTATACGTGTTTTCAGTCCTGTTCTTACCTTTTATGTTTGATCCATTACCATAGCCTCATCCAAATTTAGTTTCGAATCAATTTATTTTTTGATTTGGTGCCCTATTAAGTCTAGAGCCTGGGCAGCTGCCCATGTAAACCTGCTCCTTAATCCTGCCTCTGTCACAACCCATTCCCCTGAGTTCAGCACCTTCCTCTTCAGCAGACTCAGGGAATGTTCTTTGCCTGCTCTCAGACAAGCCACACATTTGGGCAGCTGGGCCACACCAAGCAGAGAAGTTTGTGTGCAGTGCTACCACTGTGGGAGGAAGTTGTGTAACTTGCAGGCAGTAATAAACCGCAACATCCTCAGACTGTACCCTGCTGATTTAAGATTGAAATCTGTAACTGGCCTACTGCCACTGAACCTGTCTGGGACCCCAAAGGCTTGGTTAGAAACCCTATGGATTGGGAGTCATGGGGCCTGGCCTGGCTTCTGCTGGTACCAGTACAAATAGGTATTTCCCTCTCTCCATAAGAGACTCTGACTCGACTTGCAGGCAATGGTGGCCAGCTCTCCAAGAGTGATGGGCAGGGAGAGTGGAGTCTGAATCATCACAATATCCCCACTGGACACTAAAATAATGAGAGAGAAGTGCAAGGTTATGTGCGAACATTATGAGCTATTTTTGCGATTCCCTTCTGTTGTTTTTGTTTTTTTTTTTTTTTGCTAAAATATTATTTAATTTTGCTGTGATTTTTTTTATTTTTATTTTTTGGTGATTTTGATTCTTCGTACCCCAAAATACTCAGTTAGCCTACACTGATCCCCTATTTCATTGTCACAGTTTTCACCAGCAAACAGGTCCTGGTTCCTTCTCAATTCTTCCTCACATTTACAAATGAAACAGTTGCATGCCACTTCCTGAATAGCAAAATGTGTCCATCCAACAAGCCAACAGAATACACATGGAAGTGGTGCCCCCAGAGCTCAGCGTCCCCACGCCCTTCTCCTTCTCATCTCCCCTCTGTCGTCACCAGGGATCCAGAGCATTAACATTCCCAGCAGCTGAGCAGGGAACCTCATTTTGAGATGTTGAACTGATGAGTCCTGATAAGTAAAGGCAAGATTAGAGCTGACCTTTTATCTTAGAATTTCAAGAGATGATCCTTCCCAGGGAACAATATGCAAACCCCATGGTGGGTGCAACAGTGTGGGAAGAGCAAAGGGGAGGGTAGGCCTTGCCTGTGAGCAAAGCAACATAAAATACATCTGTGTTTGGAGGAAAAGAGATAAAGTCATTGCTGCTCTCATTTGTGGTCACCGTCAACTGTGAAAGGCTGGATCTCTGGGTAGGACACATTGAACGTGGCCCTGTCACTCTAAGAAATCATCAGAGACCCTGCAGCTGTAGAGATGTGTGTCCAGAGTCAATCTCTGGGAAGTAAATGGCCATTGGATTTGGATCCCACCCAGGTAATCTAGAAAAATAAACAGCTTCCTTCCCCATTGTGCTGATCCATAGTGTGTCTCCAAATAGGGGTATGGACTTGAGATTGTTAAGATTGTCTGATATCTGCTATTGCCTGGTTAACTACCTAAAAGTGTTAGAT